GAAAACCCTACTAGTCCTCCCTTGGTCCAGAATGAATTTGATCACTAATATATTCAAAAACTTTTAATTTTCATGAACGATCGGAATTTCACAAGAGTTCTTTTGTAGGCCTACAGCGAGTAAAAAAATTTCAACTCATTATGTTATTGGCTTTTAGGGTCACTAATTAAAAACAATAGAGCAATTCTAGACCTAGGTCTTAGCACAAAGAATATGGTAATAGAATCGTCCACAGAAATTTGTTAAGCCTACTCAATCCTCAATACGTAGCACTTTTCCATTGTGTGCGTGCGTCAGACAAATCATTAGGATCCAAGTCTTGTACAACACTCAATGTTTGCATGTAAAACTCAAATCAACATTATCTGAAGTCCATCCCATAGTGTAATCATATACAATTAATTGCCTGTTAGGCTCACTGACACTAACAATTTTAATTACCATATCAAATTCACACCTGCTGTTTTGTATGAATTTAATTAAGTTTTTATCCCTACAGACAATTATTGTTAGGCTAATTAATTGTAAATTAGAGTAGAAGTAACATTATATAATTTGTTTCCATAATTCTAATTAACCATTTAACAGGACAAATAGGCCTGTTTCTTTATTTAGTTTATATAAATGATGAAACATGTTAAGATTAGTAGGTGTTTTTTCAGGGTTTTTTATAATGAATAAATTGTTTACAGTTGAACACTGCTAATCCGACATCATCGTTTTTCGAGTTCATGGAAACATTCTTCCACATCCTCCCCAATCATGGGAAAATATTGAACGTCTCTTACGGTCAGAAAATACATGATCACAATTGTGGAAAAATCCTAGACAAATCCTAAAGTTGATATTAGATGCCAATTGGACAATGCATATAGGTTAAGAATACAAAAACAAAATGAAGATGTTTCGAAAAATCGATACATTCTAAGTAAGCTAATTGATGCAATTAAATTTTGTGGAGCGTTTGAATTAGCATTACGAGGACATGATGAACGCGAAAATTCAAAAAATCCTGGCATATTTCGTGGTTTGGTTAACCTTATGGCGGAGCTGGATGTAACATTGCAACAGCACATAAATCAAACAAATAACCGAGTGTTTTTGGGTCTGTCTAAAACCATACAGAACGAGTTATTGGACTCAATATATTACGTTTGTCTGCAAATGATTCGTGACGAATTGACACAAACCGACTATGTTGCTATTGAAGCCGACGAAACAACTGACTGTGCCACTTTATCCCAACTAGTATTTGTTATTAGGTACGAGCTGAATGGCACGATTCACGAGCGATTTATCACTTTTATTAGACCAAAAGGCCATGATGCAGAATCAGTTAGCGAAACAATTTTTGAAGTATTAGAGCAATTAAACCTCGACAAAACTCCTGATAAAGTCATTGCCCAGAGCTACGATGGGGCTTCCGTAATGAGTGGCCAACACACGGGAGTACAAGCGCGTGTAAAATCTAAATATAAGAATGCAAATTTTGTCCACTGTTACGCACATCAATTAAACTTAATCATTGAACGCAGTGCTACACAAAATAAGCAGGTTAAGATATTCTTCAGTAATATCGAGGGGTTTTCATCATTCTTTTCCCAGTCAACAAAGAGAACTGCAGTTCTCGATGAGATAGTAAAACGTCGTATTCCAAAAAGCTCAGGTACTCGGTGGAATTTTAAATCCAGAATTGTAAGCACAATTTTTAATTATCAAAGAGAGTTGGAGGAATGTTTAAGTTACATACTCGACGATGACACCAATGACTATGCCACAATAAATAAAGCTGTTGGCCTAAGAAGTATTCTAAAAGACGAAGACTTTATTTTCTGGCTGGACTTTTTCAATCAAATACTGCCCCACAGTGACATTCTGTACAACCAACTGCAGCAAACAACAATTGATTGCGTCAAGGCGTTTAAGTTTGTCGGCGATTTCAAAACTGTGGTAGATCGCGTAAGAAACTCGACCATGTTAGATCAACCGAGAGATAGTGAACCCGAATCGAGCAAAAAGCGGAGAAGACACGACGATCAAAAACGCGTCGTCGCAAAGGAAGTGTGTGACATAATTACGTCGGGAATTGATGACCGTTTTACGTTTGTAAATCATTTGTCCGCGGCAAAACTGTTTCAGCCAAGTTTGTTTGGGGAGTTTAAAACCAAGTTTCCCGAAAAAGAGTTACACGCTGCTGCGGAACTATTTAGCCTAAATAAAACTGAATTGAAACAGGAGTTAAATGTTATTTACAATAGGGATGATTTTTCAACGGCCACAGGGTCATTAAGACTACTCAACTTTGTCTATGACAACAACCTCAAAGATGTGCTTCCAGAGTCAATCAAACTTTTAAAAATCATAAGCACAATACCTATGACTACTTCGGAAAGTGAACGTTGTTTCTCTACTTTGAAACGAATTAAAACGTTTACCAGGAGTACCATGAAACAAGACAGACTAAGTGCGCTTGCTATGTGTTCTATCGAAAAAAAGCTGTTGTCAACTTTAAACTTCAACGAAAAAGTAATAGATCACTTCGCCGGGCAGAAAGAAAGGAGGATGGATTTCACATTCAAACAGTACAATTAAAGTTAGGCCTTATCCTCATGGTATGGTTTTCTACTCATATTGCCGTGGATGTTTTAATATAAAATACAATTAGTCAAGCCTTACCCTCATGGTTTGGTTTTCTATTCGTTATTGCCGTGGGTGTTTAAATTATACAATTCAATCAATGTCAGGCCTTGCCGTTTGGTTATCTACTCATTATTGCCGTGGATTTTTTACTATTAAATTATCAATTGTTAGTTATATTTTCAATACAGTGTAGTCCCGTTTTACAAGGCCGTAGGCAGGGAGGGGGGTTAGAGGGTCAAACCCCTCCCCCAAAATTCCGAAATTGAGCAGTACAAATTAAAACTAGGTTTAAAAAGTTGAATTATGAAATAGAAACCACAATAGAGGATTAATTGTTATGTTTTGCAATATCTATTCATATTTAATATAGGCCTAGTTATATTAGGATAATAAATCTGATCTATTAAATAAATTGGTAAAAACTATTTAAAAAATATACTTTACTTTACTCTACTTATGTCTATTTGCTCATGCATAACAAACAACAGGTGAAATGGGAGTTTTTGGACTATTATTGGACACAGTTTTAGGCGTTAAAATTGCTTCAGAAAGTCACCAAACGGCTTTAAAAATTTAAAAATGGATATTAGAATAGAGGTAATTCCCGGACCCCCCTCTTCTGTTGGGGGGTGCTCCACACCCCCCAAACCCCCCGGAGCCCCCCCCTAGACTAGGTCCTAGAGCCGCCACTGGCAATGAGAATTCTCAAAAAAACTAAGGTGTGTAGGGTTCACTGATTAAGTTGATCAACTAAAGACGGCTTGGGCATGCGCAATACTACTAAAAATGAACTGACAAAACAAAACCATGCTAAAGTCTCAATCTGACGTCCTTTTTTTTCAATGTGAGGTGTCACGGGCGTCACTGGTTGCTAAGTATGACGGAAACTGTCACCTGACATCTCTAAATAGTTCTTAAAATACTGAGGATTTTTCAAGAAGAGGAAAGGAATTGTTTAGAAGATTTTGAGTTAAAGGTTGGCTTCAACGTAGAAATAGTTACAACCACATAACACTCCTACGTTAATCACACCCCTAGCTCACTAGCTCGTAGGAGTGTTATGTGGTTGTAACTATTTCTACGTTGAAGCCAACCTTTAACTCAAAATCTTCTAAACAATTCCTTTCTTCTTCTCTGCTTCCCAAAATTAAACATAATCATAACTTCGGCAGCTATTTCCTCTTCGTCAGCGGGCATGGTGTTGCCACTTAGGTACACACTTAGGTAGGCTTAAGTGCAACTAAGCTCGAACCAGAACCAAACACAATGTCTATCCCCACCACATTTTAATTGATTTCCTTCTTGATTGAAAGTGTTTGATATCCTATTCTGTGGCCCCCAGCAATAAAACGTTCAACCATCAACTTAGTCACTCGTCAACCAGATCGCTGGTTGATAAGCGACCGGGTGTACTAGTGTGTGTAGCGGCCTTTACAGAAGAATAGCTCCAATCACGTAGTCGATCTGTATCATGTATTCTCTCTCATAAGACTGTGTGTGTCATCCCCTCCATCATGGCTTAACTTCCCCTCGTGTAGCCACTCCCATTTGATTCAATGTGTTGTCTGAACACACGGATGATACACCTCGTCTGGCCTCGGCCTTAGATTTGCTGCTACAGGGATGGTAGTACAGTATATTTTTTAGAGAATGAGAAAGTTTAGTATGAAAGAAAGAAATTTGCCAAATATGATTAATACTGTAAATCCATAAGTAAGCAAACCAAAACAGTTTACTTTTTCTCAATGAGAATAACAAAAATTTTTAAATTAATGGTTTTGTTGAATTCTCTCTGCGACCATTAAACGTACAACAAGGCTTTATTATACTAAATGATTTATTCTTTTAATATCCACAAAATGTTTTGGATGTAGAAAGACTCCTATAGAAGGACTACACTCGGCGGAAATGACATCTCTTTAACCGGACAATTTTGATCAGCACATTGGTTTAACTTGACTAGATCGGCAGGAAGTGGGCAGTACTGAAACGACTGTTCTAGTGGGAAAGATTTGAGACCAGTGATCACGTGTCTAAATACAATGCTCTCCTAAATTTAAGTCGAATATCACAGTAAACAGTCTGTTTTAACGAGTTTTTGGGGACATTGGTTTAACCGGAAAACCTGTTATCCGGACTGGCCTCGGTCCCGAGGAGTCCGGATAAGAGGGAGTCTACTGCAATTCAGTTTAATTGTGTTTTGTCCAAAGATGTATTCCTTAAATGCTTTGCTGTATTTTCACCAGTTCAACAATACAATCATTTTTCTTCAAAAATCAAAAATTCGTCAGAGATGTGTTTAGAAATTTATGTGGTTAAATAATCATTTAACTTTCATAGCATTGTCTTACAGTACAAACCTTGAATGAGCTTCTGGAATGATGTCATCGAAGACTACGTAGATCATTGCCCCAGCAGCAAAGGCCAAGGCGTAGGGCAGGAGAGGCTGGGCTAGAGAAATGGCCAAGACTCCTATCAGACCGGCCACAGGCTCCACCATGCCACTCAGCTGGCCATACCTAACAATCAAACAAACATAATAAAACATACATCATTTAGTTAAGTTCCTAAATTATTATTGTGTTTCGCTTTAGTAGAGCTTTTTTTTAAAAAAAAGAGGTTGGCGGCCTCTTTTAACCTTGCATTTGCCCGTCCACATAGACTACAGATCTGTGCGCGGAACGTATCCAGCAAAGCAAGGGGTGAGCCGGTCGGTACAGTACAAAGGTGAAGATGCGGGGCATATAGTGTGACTGACAAACAACACGTTAAAATACGTTATACAACTTTCAATGGTGTTGCTGCCTCAGCCTATTCAAAGCGGATTATGGATGTCCAGTTGGTAACCCAGAGTTTTTGGGTAAAAAATGGAGCACATGAAATGGTTGTTATCACCCCGGGTCCGCGGAATTCGCTAACTCTGGAACTCGCTAACCCCATGTTAAACGCCCTATCTTCAAATTTGGTCGATGAGAGGATCTCACTAACTTGTTCGGTTTCGGAATTGGCTAACTCCGGAACCCGCTAACCCGCTCTAGAGCCGGGTTAGCGAATTCCGTCCACGTACGGAAGTCGCTAACCAGTGTTGCCAACCAACCTCTTTGATTTTCCCCGCACGAAACGACGGAAATCCTCGATTTTCCTCGCAAGGATTCTAAAATTACTCGCAAAATCCTCGTTAGCATCAAAGATTAAAATAATTTGAAATTTCCCCATATTTACATGATAATATACGTTTCCAGGTTTTCTTTTTTTACTAGAGGTACAAACAACCAAACATACATGCATAACCTATTGTACTTTAAAAATTATGGGTTTTGTTAAATAGTATGAGTGTGGTATGAGTGTGGCCATAGACCAACCAACACAATGGAATTATATGTATCTATGATTTAACGCATGCATTATAATCAATGTCCTCACTATTCTGGCTCTTACTTCTTCAATTTACTACCACCACAACTCAAAACCATCAAAAAACCTGTCACCTTCAATAGTAAACTAAAACAATACTTAACAGATAGGCCATACTACACAGTCTTCGAATTTATTATGGAGCACACTTTCCAACACCTGAGACGTGAATAGGCCTACAAACCCATCATTCCCCTGAAGTTTGATCAGGAAGAAGTTTGACGATTCCCCGATCCCTGGATTGTGGAGAAGAAAAAAAAATGGTAAAAGTAAAAGTAGGTTTTCTATCCCTGAACCCTGACTCTTTGTCAAATCTGAATAAGTACTTGTAGTTCGTCTTGGTTAATTTGTGGGTGTGCTTATGTCAACGTCGAAATTCTTAAACAAATTATAAACAAATTTTTTTTTTATTTTAGGGTATAATAATTTACTCAAGGTTATATTAAATCACGGCCACCTAAATAAGAAAAAAACCTGTGTTTATACGGTACCTGAAAAAAATACTTTATAAATTATATCATACTTATAACCTTCATTAATAATAATATATTAGTTATTAGCTTTAAAAATTAAATAATAAATCATTCAGATGGGGACGCCACCTAGGTACGTATTTTTACTCAAATTCGAGTATAAGATGAGTGTAGAATGGTGTGAGATGATATGTGTAACTTTGTTACTGATGACAAAGCTATTTCATCAGACAGGATAATTGATTTAAAGCCCAATCATAATGAACAGCTGAGTAATAAATCATAATTTGTTAGGTTTTAATAATTTCACTACGTAGGCCTAATTGAAAGAAAATTTGAACTGAAGGCAACCAACAAACGACAAGTTTCTGTACAAGTGAAAAAGCTAAAAAAAAGGTAGGGTAGTTTGTTGTTAAACACACATCGGTCCCAGTCATATCCTCATAACAATAGTTCAATTCGAATTCACATTCGCTTCATGATTACAGCCTTATAGCACGCAGCTCAGCTGAGCTGAGCTGACAGCGACAGCTGGAGCTGAGCATAGAATTACTTCACTTCACTTCACCTCAGTCCAGTTTCCAGTTCGGCAGTTAGTTCTAAGTTCACCCTCATTTCATCGTCTTCTTCTTCATCTACTTGTTCTTAGATCTTGATTGGTTGATTTATTGATTGATTGACTTTTTTCAGTTGCGGAAACTGTTCTTTCAATGATTAGATTCAGAGGGATTTTCAATATATTTTTAAAGAGACCCAGGCACTGAGAATACTCGATTATCAGAAAAATCCTAGTTGCTTTACCTGAAAATCCTCGAAAATACTCGCAAAATCTGAATCCTCGCATAAATCCTCGCAGGGTCTGGAAATCCTCGAAAAACGAGGATTTTCCCCGCAATTGGCAACACTGTCGCTAACTCGGTCCCTCGGCGGAACTCGCTAACTCCCAATCAGAAGCCTCGCGGGCCGTCCAATGGGAGCCAAGCACGAAGATTTTTGATCAGTGTTGCCGAAAGTGTAGTACCTATATCGTATCGATACCATAATGTCGTATCCTACGAATAATTAGGAGTAAGAGCAACGTTGTCGATAAAATAAATATATTTAGAAGTATTGTTTACTATTATTCTTATGATTATTAGGATGGAAAATGCATTATAGTCTTACCATAGACTAACAAACACATGTAAACTTCACATACCATTGTAAACTTTGAAGCTAGTTTCTCGTGACTAGTTCATGTCCGGTGACACTGATCGCTAGTATCGACGAAATAGTGTTTCTATTTTTGTATAGTTAACTTCATAATTTGTTCTTTACTGTTTAGTTATATAACTAGGGGACGTGTAATTAGTTGTGATTAAGACGTTTTATTTGGTTAAACGAGGTTTTAAATGGCTGAAAACAAGAAACAATTGTAAACAAAACACGACCTCTAAAGACAGTGCACCGGACAGAACTAACAATACAACTGTCTTCAGCTGATCCATAAGGATGAGAAATGTACTAATATAAGGTAGTATGTTTTATATGTGGTTTTCTTACTTAAATAGTAGTTTATTGGGATGCAAAAAAGATAATACTGTAGGCCTATATTTAATTTGGATCTTTTACATGTTATGAAATATCTATTTTCGTAGTCCGCCATTTGTTTCTCTTATTCACATAAATACCATTTTGTGAATTTCTGCTAATAAAATTATTAAGTTTGTATTTTATATACTGAGCTTGTAATCTTGAATCATAAATCATGATCAAATTTATACGTTAAACGTCATTACAGAAATACATTGTAGTGGTAATGTATTTTTAAATAGAGCTATTGAATTCAAATAAATATTGATCAATACATTACAAAGTGGTAGGCCTAATGTATTGCATTAAAAATTAGTCTATGCATAAATACAACTTGTAAATTGCTGTTATCGTAGGCTATTAGTGTAGAACCTGGGTCATCCTCTTAATTTTGTTTAATTAATATTAATCTTACGTTTTTCAGTAGGCCTACTTTTTAAAAGTCTTGAGTGTTTACGGTTCTAAATGGACCCAGGCGTTCTTGTTTGTTACCATTTTTATGAATGGTGGCCATAGCTAAAATTACCTGATCTTATTCAAAAACAAAGCTATTGTCTATTGAGTAGCTTAGTACCGGGGAACGGGGAACCGAGCAATGGTTTGGTAGAGTTTATTTCGATTGTAAAAGCAATATAATGAAACCCCACACTCAAGTCAGGAAAATCCGTCAAGTCGTTGATTAAGAATCGTGAATTAAAATAACCCTGTCACTTTTTATTATATGAATATTATATCTTCTATTATTTACCAGTGGTGCTTAGGTGTACAATCTAAAAACTGTTTTAAAACATGTAACATTATTACTAAAAATTCAACACATTTTAGAATTAGGCAACTATTTACTAGTAGGCCTACAGCTATTCTAAAAAAATGTATATGAAACTTAGTCTATGTCATATTTTTACACGTAATTTGGAAGATTCAACGACGAACAATTAATTTTAAATCTATGAATTAGTTATGAAAGTTACGATGGTTGATGACTGTATTAAATAATGGTTTTTGTTTATTACGACATTAGATTAAATTTGTTTTCCGTGTTTGAGAACTTGTGTGTATTTTAGCTTAATTTCGTAGAGGTTTAATTATTTAGTACCAATGAAACAGAATTTTCAATATTTTTCATATTCTATTATTTTCTTTTATACTGATGGCATTTGTATTAAAACTGAATGTTTTCAGCTGCAAACTGAATGTTTTCAGTTGCAAACTGAATATTTTCAGTTGCAGATCGAAACTATAAACATGTAATTGGCCATTGTACAGTTAAATAAAAAAAATTTCATGATTTTGTTATTGTCTTTGAATTACTTTGGGCTAGTTATCTGTTAAAAGTGGAATTGATAACAAAAAACAATAACATTTACTGTATCTTCATTGACACTGACATTTTGAAATACCGGGCAGTGTACGATTATTTCATTGTACAAGGTTGGCAATGCTCCGTGCGGTGGGCGCGGCCGGGTTAGCGACTTCCAGAGTTAGCGAATTCCGCCGCGAGACAAAATCGAGTTAGCGGGTTCCGGAGTTAGCGAATTCCTGACTGAGACGGTTAGCCAGTTCCAGAGTTAGCCAGTTCCGACACACGACCGAATTAGCGAGTTCCTGAGTTAGCCAATTCCTACGTCTCATCACCCCACTTTTCAGGATTCTCTGCGGAGAAAATTTGTTTGATTAGGGGGATGTCTCAAATCAAAGAAATAAAATGATCCAGCTTAAATGACTTAACACAGGTTATCAGTAAGGTTACACAGTTTTCTTTAATTCTCAATGCTAGAAAAACTTTGTTGCAACATGTTAACTCGAATTTTAGCAGATCGTTTAGCATTCATTAGAAGTTATCAGTTAAAACTGAGAGCATAAATAATGTAGGTGAGCATTGACAACCCAAATATGGATGTTTAAAATAATAGTTTCTAACAAGTGTTTAAACAATTCTAAGATGTAATTAGAATTACTCGAATTTAAGCATACATTTTCCTCGGCGTTATGTTTCATACTATGCGGCTCATTGAGCCCCACGGGTTCTCTAGTCTTTATGGATCAGCTGAAGACAGTTTTATTGTTAGTTCTGTAGGGTGACAATGGAATCATGTTTTTGTTTACAATTTGTTTCTTGTTACTTTAGTTCTTTAAAACCTCGTTTTATCAAATAAAACAATATAATCATAAGCAATAATTCGTCCCTAGTTATACAACAGTAAAGCACAAATCATTAAATTAACAAAAAAATAATACAGTAGGAACAAAGTTTTGTCAACACTAGCGATCAGTGTCACCAACATGAACTAGACATGAAACACAAGCTCCAAACTTTACTATGGGATGAGAAGTTTACTTGTGTCAAACTTGGTAAAGATGGTATGTAAAAATATATATTTTGAGTGTTATTAGACATATTTTTACCATTGACTATATAACATTCGTGTTATATAGTCAATATTTTTACTCCCTTCCCGTAACGTTTTAGATGTATAATATCATTGACTATATAACACTACTGTTATATAGTCAATGATAATATACATATCTTGTAAATTTTGATTGAACTTGGTCATTTAAAGCAGACTTTTCAGTAACTAGCACATTTTTGAAATGTGTGGAGTAGATGCGTATGCTTTTTTTTATGTTTAATTACTAAACAACTAAATTCGGGGTGCTGCATTTTTGATTTGTTGAACAATTACAGATAATGCAAAATCAAGAGAACAAATGACCGCAAACCTGACCTGAAAAGGTTCACCAGGCAAAATAGCGACAGTTTAAAATTACAAGGAACGGCAGCTTTGCAAAACAATAAGTTGAAGTTTGTAATTTTAAACCACCACTGTTTAGGCTATAATGAACTTTGTGACGTTGGGTTTGCAGCACTGTGTTTTCCCAAGAGACCTAAATAGGGAATGTATACCGTTGGTATTTTTTGTCTTGATAGTATCTAACGTCAATCTTTGTTGGATAGCACGGCCCGTTACTTTATGGCCCAATGACAAATGTATCCAGAATTGATACCACTTGTAATCAAACCAGTAGTCTTCAGATTTGCAAAAAGCACTGTAAACACTTGGCTACGCAGACAATCGTATTTATATCAACTCACCAGAAGCTGCGGAAGGTTGAGAAGCCAGCTGTCTTCAGAGGCAGACTGACAGCCAGACCTTCAGGAAAGTTCTGCAGTCCTATGCCTATGGCCAGATTTCTGAAACAACAATAGTCATATACTGACATGATACTGATAATAAACTAATGACCATATATTCCTCAGAGTATACAAACAGTAAATGTGATAAAATAAAAGTCAAGTTAATTATTAGTACATTATTTGGTTTGTTTAATTTTGAGCAGTTTGGACAAAAGATGTTGGGATTCATGAGAGGAGTTTGACCATTTTACAGTGGAGGGGGGGGGGGCGTGGGGGGGGGCAGAGCTGTAAAGGGTAAATGCTCCAACCAGAGAAAAAGAGATACTAAAATCCCATAAATTTTAAGACTACATAACATTTGTCCAGCAAAAATAATAGGTATACCAATGAATTTGCTACGAAAGAACTTTTTTCAAAACATTTCTATGTTCTACCAATCCTGAGTATATAATATAGGCCTATACTAATATTAAATCAATATTAAACATTAATAAATATTAAATTAATATTAAATAATTATTAAATAGTTATTAATAATTATTAAATATTAATATTAAATAACATTACGTCAAGAAAATAAAAATGTTGGATTGGTTGAAAGAATGATCAAAATTCTTTTCATCTAGTGCGAGACCAATAAGTTTTGTTTTGAGCAGTTTTCACTGATAAATGTTACGTAGATGTGTCTATAAAAGAAATCCACATGACTTTTCAGAGTATGACTACTAAAGATGTACATTTTTAAGAAACTTTAAGACAATTAAGAAAAACTCCAGGAACGACTACTTGCATGAGAATAACTGAAAACCGCAACAAAACAAATTAATTGCTATTTTTTATTTCATATAGTATATAGCCAGAAGAATTTTTATGATTTAATTTAGAAGGCAAAGCAAATGCCTACTAACTATCTTAATATATAAAAGAAAGTTGTGTTAGTTACAGCGTTTATAACTAGAAAACTACTGAACCAATTGGCATGAAAATTTACAGGGATATTCCTAGGTACTAGAATAACATAATACCAGGACGTGATTGAGCCATGCGAACGAGCTAATCTTGAAAATGAACGAGCATTTGACATAAAACCACATTAGGACAGGACGGCGTCTGTCGGGCCAGCTAGTAGACAATAAACATTCATTCAAATTTCAATCTTTTTATGTTCAACAATGTTTCTTTTTGATCGGTAATTCTCAGTTAATAAATTATCATTTATTGAGTTAATACTTTTTACACTTTTCATTGAAATGGACCAGGTATTTTAAGCCAATTATGAATGGAGATGAGTGTAGGATGAGTGGCACGATCTTATAGTCTTGTTTGTGACTAAGGCCGACATATTCCTTAATCCTTAGATCCTGCAGTATTTAATTTGAGTATTTAATGTTACAATATCAATATAATACTCAAAACATTAAATATCTATATACTGTACAAGTAATTCTAAATCAAATAAAAACAAGAGATAGGCGTACATGAAATATATACAACCACACGACTCTCGCATAGTAGGGTACAAACGTTTATAAAGATAATCATTAATCATTACATAAAATAAATACTCAATAGGTCTATAACTTTAAATGACAATATTCTTTAATACCTAATCAAAAGAACCCAGTAAGCATATTTCGTTTGCCTGACTGGAGATGGCGTACTTGTTCGAGAGGGATGGGGTAACCCCTACTAATGACCTGGGGATGGGCGCACTTCAGTGTGCCCAAATAAACATGCAGAAACAGCTTGGTTATTTAAAACTAATGTGGCGTTTAAACAGTTCCATTCAACAGTTTGAGAATCATTCATCAGAGCTTTATCAATACAAGGTCACATATTGAGGACGGACACCTCCGCGGACTCTGTTATCAGGTAAGGTCAAGGTCATAGGCCACTACAGCGGAGGCTTCATTCATATAAGTCTCCGTCACCGGTCAAAGTTTGTAGATAGCCATATAATGTAATGTGATTCTGCTAACATTGTGGCGCCACAAGCCAGCTTTCAAGTGGCATATGAACAGTTGCAATACCCCCTGCTGGACCAAATTTGTCCATATTGCTAAACTCCATTTGCCTGATTCGATTTTTAATCAAATATTTCCTGAAATTTAAAAGGATTTATTCCCTATTTAAATAACTTTTGGTGGCTACAGGGAAGGCAATGAAGTGCGTTTTTAGCAAAATAGTAATAGCTTAGAATAAAATGAATATAATGGAAGTTATATCAAAATATATCCATAACTTATAATACATTTTCTTATTATAAGTTATTTTTTATTATTATTATACCTTAACCTATTGACCTGTCCAATTCCTGCCCTGGACTACGGACGGAAACTACAAGTATTACAAGTACAAGTAAGTAAGTATAAACAAGCAAACTACAGCAGTTTACTTATTCTAAACAAATAACCTGGCAATTTCAAATGTTCTCCGTCACTATCATACAAAACTCTTCCCAATTTTTGTCTATCTGTTTAGAAGACCAAAAATTATAAAGACAAAACAAATGTCTCATCATAAAACCCCCGTACCCAGTCCGATCATGCTGGTTCGCGAACTCGTTCCAATAAACGTAGGATATAACGATGCGTATCAGACATGTCTTGTGCATAAATGTTGCTCAGAAGGCAAAATTCTGTAATAAAAACGACGAAGAATGTTGATTGAATTTGTCTCTTCTAATGACAAAGTTTAGTTTCTGACTATAAGATAAGAGCTTTCTCTTCTAAACATTTTCTCATTGTCGTTATTTGTAAACAAACCTAATTTCGACAAATAATTCTTTGGATTAACTTTATTCAAGTCAGCATAGCCTAGGCCACAAGCACATTCCCCATTTTATTCTAATACCATAGTAAAACCCCTTTCGATTATAACAGAAGTTTACTTATTTGTCCTTCAGATACATAAATAGTAGGCCCTATATTGTTATATTGTAAAAGGTATTTTCATTGACTCGGTAAATCCCGAGTAGGTAAGAAAAGCATTTAGATAGAGCAAATTAAGATCAATTGTTTACATTTTGAATTAACATGTTTGCTTTAATTCTTCGAAGCTTGTAATTTCAAAATATCCGTGTCCAAATTATTAAATATCCAAATCATTATTGTCTGTGGCCATTGCCTCCTCTATACTGTGGTACTACACATATCATTTTGCATCTTTATTTCCTCACAAGCTCAGCTTCCACACCAGTATCTCCGTCATTTGCGTAGAGCCCCAGGTTAGAACCGACAACATTGTCGCGTAGTAGGAATGCTGGTCCGCATTCCAGTCTACATTTCCCTTTGATGTTCCCAAAAATACATCCGCAACTATTTGAAAGTTCGCGGGGCGTAGTTCCCAACGGCTTATTGAATACTCACACGGTGATTATTCTGAAAATAACTTATCCTAAAATAAACTATTCAATTGTTTACTGAATGAGAATGCCACGGATATTTTGTATGCAACCATGGATATTGTATACTACTAGTATTATGTAATTCTTCTTAACTCTAGGGTGACATCAGCTGTACAGGTTTATCACTTGTACAAACTTCTTCAGCTAAAACACTCAATCATTAATGTACTGAAGCCGAGTTACGAGATTACGAGCCAGGAACTTGGCCTAGCAATTTTTTGAAGGCGTTACTGAGTCGGCTAACCATTGGAAACATACACTCAAAAGGTTTAAAAAATGTTGATAAAAACATTAGGTAATTAAGTACTACATTGTATTAAAATATAAAATTTAAAAATAAACATATACATTTTGCTAATAAAATACTGTATTATTTACAAACACTATTTTCTTCTTGAAGTTGGAGAAACACTTCAAATTAATAAACCGTTTGACAAATAAAAATTCAAAATTATTTACAGAGAACAAGAAATAACTCGTTTTATTTGGTTCGATACAAAAAATGCCCAACAACAATCGGCAACAAATAAACAAATATGAGAAATCACGAATCTACCGAATTAATAAATTGTAAACAGTGAACAAGCTATGAATTTTGTTTGTAATTGCAAAAGTCACATACATTTTCACACATACTAATGCGAGGGATCGAGAACACACGTGTTGTGGTCAACTAGTGGACAACGCCGTTGAAAGGATGTCCGGTAGGTGGATGATCTGTTATTGGCAAACACTCAAGTATTTTCGAGAGTGGAGTTTCCAGTTTTGGTCCGAACCACTGAACTGATTGATTAGGCACAAAACAACCAAAATTTGTAAAAACTAAGCCAACTTCAGTAAAACAGAAGGGCGGGCATTTGACTCGTGGGTGGGCGAGTTTTACGGATTCATAGTCAATGGTTTTACGAACACAAGAAAATACTCACACTGTCTGCTCTGTTCATTCTTGAGTCTGCAGTGACAGTAAAGGAAGCCAGAACATTTTCCGAAAAATCAACAAATCCATAACTATTCAACGAGTCTGTTACATGTACCACAAGTTTCATCCAGTTTAGTGAGATATAAACCAAGACCTACATGCATAGGAATTTACAATAAAATTCCAGCAGGCATAAGGGAAATTGAAGATGCGGAGAAGTTTAAATCCAAGCTTAAAGAATATTTAACAACTAGGCCTTACTACTCAGTAGAAGAGTTTTTAAATCAAGAATAGGCCAAAATTTTGACGACCATGGCACACCCGTGCTACTAATGGGATACCTACAAGTATCAAGTAAGTAAGTAAGTATCAAGATAAGCAGGAAGTATAAACTGAGTAGGATAGTAGTAGGTCACGTAGATTTTTGTTTCGCACTTTGGTTTAAGATAAGAATGAAGGAAACTTTTGAATATCATGCTTACAAAGAATTTTCATTAGAGTTGTATTTTATAACCCACAATGATTTTGACATAAAAGGTATATAATGTCCTGGTGTTTTTCAACTTGATGTTGTGGGGTTTCCTGCAATAGCTATGGTTGTGTCATGATAGGAAACTGTCGATCCACATTCACTGTCGGCAGACTGGTCTAGAACAAGCGACTTGTCGCGAACTATTCAGCCGAAAATCCGTGGCGACGTCACTTCCAACATTTGTTGTTAATGTGATGATT